AGTCTGCCTAGTTCAGTCACAGGGAAGTTCCCAAAGAATGGGAGGCGGAAGGGGAAGGGATTGTGCTTTGTACCAGAGCAGTGTCGTAATGTCCTGGCGTGATCCTTCTTCATGTCTGCTTTTTGCAACTTATCTTGGCCCCACTATAGGAGAAAAGATATTCAGTGGAAAACAATAATAACTGATGAAACTGCTGATTTGGGGAGGGATGGGGCACGCGCAGTTTTTGGAATCATTTTTTCCCCGTTTTGATATTGGACTGCACTTTGGGCTTTAGTTTGCACTCCCCAGGAGTCATCCAAGGTGCTGAACCTATTTTTAAAAATAGCATTCAACACCTTGGCCAGCTCCCGCACACGGCATATTAAAATCTGGAGTGGATTTACAGTGTCCCAGAAACTGGAGTCACTGCCCTTGATTGTATTTCACACCTCTTTATTCTCCCAAAGTATTCTAGTCGCAGCTTTCCAGACTTTGGATTTTCAGTTATGAGGTGTCCATAAAATTTTTATTTTTTTATTTATTTGTTTGTTTTATACCCTGTCCATCTGGTCTATACGAGCACTCTAGGCAGCTTACAACATAACATAAGCATTAAAACCAAGAATACTACATAAAACATTCAATAGGAAATTACAATACAAAATGAAGAGGAAATAAATAGAGTGAGAAAATAAAATCAAGCCTCTCCCACATGATTCAGCAACTTCTCTATTGATCACAGCAGCCTATAATTCCTATTTCCAAGCAAATCACTGGCCTTTCTTTATCCCCACTGGATGTTGCCTTGTTGCAGGACACTAAAGCTGGGACAGGCCTCCAATGTCTTGTAATCCACACCCCTGCAAATGCAGAACATCCACTTGCATCTTAGTTCTAGAGGCACATTCATGCTTCATCATTTAAGTTCCTCCAGAGTGTCTTAGGTCTCCCTTTGGAAGATGCATGCCTATAAAGACATACTGTACAGTATCTCTAAGCCCTCATATGCCTCCACATGGACACTGAGGGCACATCACAGATGCCCAGCCTGGTCTTCCAGACACCACAACTGCCTAGGTAGGAACTAAGAAGCAGCATTGTGTAAATACTGTACGTTGCATGTTTTTAAAGCAAAGAACAGTTACTAAATTAGTGGGCGTGCATCTAGAGTAAACAGTCAGTAAAACATAAATGATGGAGAAGTGCCTTCTGCAGTATGTAATTTTGCTGCAAGGATTAGGCAGCAATCCTTGGTACTGTATTGCCATTTGGAGCCTTAACAAGCATGTCCCTCTTTTTATTTGGGAAATGTTATCTGGATGGCTGTGTTTCCATAGAAACTGTTTTCATCAGACCGCTTCAAACTTCTTGCTAGGATCTGTAGGTTGTAGAGTGTTATGGATCACAATGAGGAGCATAACCGTCAGTAAGGTCCTTTGCATGTCTACTCAGAAAACAGCCCCACAGAATAGGATTGCAACCCCAACCCAGCCTAAAAGCTCCAGAAAAACCAATTGCAGAATCTGTTCTTTTTGCCGTTGCCAAACAGCCTCCAAGGCTAAAGCGCATTTCAGACATTTCACTGAGATCACTCACTCCCCTTTTCCTTGACATATGAAAAGCACAAGAAATGCACCCAAATTCATTGACAAACAATCCAGAAGGCCATGTAAAATGTCACAAATAGCAAGCGAGCTTCTGAGGTTTTAGTACATCTGCATTGTTTGCTGCCCCGTGACCTCTTAGGACTTAAAAGCTGTGGAATAGATGTTTATGAGATAAATTGACTCCAAATGTAAGGTTGCCTGTTGAGCTACTGTTGGTCAGACTGAGTTAGAAGTTAAAAATCGGATGTGAAAAGACATTCCAGACCTGGTGATGTGATGTAGCAGAACTGTCATTTCCTATTAGATGTCTCAAAGGAGACTATCTTAGTCACTCTTTGTCGGCTCTGTTACCAGTATGCTCTATGGGCACCCTGTGTCTCCATGATGCTTTCTCCCTCGCTCATCAGCTTCTGTGACTCCTCAGATTTTTTTTCACCATCCTGCCATTTCCGGCTGCATTTTTACAATGAGATGCACAGTTCTACCTCTCTGCAACCATCATGGGAATCTCTGGGCCAGGGTGGCAGAGCATCATCAAATTTTTAGACAGAAGTGTACTCCTGCACGTGTTCTGATAAAAGTGCCACGCAGTGAACCTCTAGCCACTCTGAGTTGTAATCTTTTAATTTTTTTTAAAAAAATCCATGCTATCACAGAAGATCCAAAGAGCAGAACATTGATTCTCGGACCTGTCCAAGAAGCTTCCCCTCTTCTTCTATGGCCAAAGCAGTTAAGGGCAAGAGGCCTGTATTTTGTTGAACTGCGTGCACCCCAAGAAAGAGCACAGAAGCCCAGCTGATCCAAGGCAAACTGCAGCTAGCAGAAGCCAAGTCACTTGCCTATGGACACAATCAGTGCCAAAATGATTTTCCTCCGTTCTGTGGCTGGGGGAACATTCGGACCAACCTGAGATGAGTGAGCTCCGTAGCCAGGAGTTTAACATGCACTATCAGAGGCAATCCTCCTAAGGATGAACTCCTTCACTGTATTCCTTCCCCCTGAAATGGCAGGAGACAATTTTTGGTCCTAACGTGTCACCTTGGCTTGGGGGGGGGGGGCCAAAGGAGTAGTACAGCAGCAAAGATTTTTCAGGCCTTGGTTTGTTCCAAGGATTTGTTGTAATGGTGGTTAAGACAAAAAAACTATCTAGTGTTTAACAGAAGGGGACAACCTGAGGATAACGCTGCAGCAAGGTGACACTGTAGATCTTGTTCTCTGCAGAATCTCCAACAAAATGTGATTCTGCTGGATGAAAATATCTCACGGTGGTGCAGAAGAGTTAGATCTTCCTGAGCTGCTGAAAGAGATTGAAATGGGCCTATGTGTAATAAAGTCCTACCAAGAAATATTAAAACATTCACAAACATTTAAAAATGGTCAGAAACTGCATCTGAGTTTGTCATTAATGTTGTCTCTGTTGACAGGACATGCAGTCCTAGGAAATGTTATTAATTTTATGCCCTCAGAGGGACCCCAGGAAAAAAGGGAGCAGGAAGAGGGCGGCTGCGTGGCTTCAGATCAAATAAGAGACGGGAACGGAGCGCCAAGTCATCCCCTTCCTGTCCTCCAGGTTTTTGTATCAGATTTATGCAAAGCAAAAACCCCGGCTGGCTCTAAAAATAGCACACAGCAAGACTCCCAGCCGCTGGATAAGAAACAAATAATTAACATGACTGATCACCAGCCACGAAAACAAAAGTGAAGTTTCTGCAGCTTCTGTTGCTTGCTCAAATAGATCTGAACCAACATGGAGGCAAAAAATGCCCTTTTCTCTGGGTTTGGCAAAAAGAAGCAAAATGGGATGTTTATTAATCCTGTCTGGATGCTAACATGCATGATTACTGAGCCTTCCCATCACCCCATCCTGTCTCCCATTTTCAGTGTTTCACCTTCAAGATGTACTTTCCCCGAAGTCATCCCTCTGCTGAAGCAGAAGTGACATGTCCCGGCATAAAGCGCTGATGGGACACTGACTCATCTGAATCTATCATCGGCTTGTTTGCCGTGCCAGCGCCAGCTCCCAGAAGCTGTTTTTGTTCAATGAATTTTACAGTCATCTGGCCATTAGGAGAGGCGCGTCTGGGAACTGGCCTGGCGATCAGAGAAGGGTGAAAGAGTGCAGCCGTCGGAACATGGAAAAAAAGAGGTCACTGTGATGGAGGAAAGTGGCGATCTGCGTCATGTTTCACTTTTTTAATGGTGGACTGAAACAGCCCGGAGAGGGAAAAGACACTGCGTTTGTTTTAATTGATTCAACAAGGAGGAGGTTGCAGGGATGAATGCTACGGAACAGAACAGTGGTCCACCCATCCACGGTAGCCAGAAAAAGATGACTCAAGAAATCCATGACTTCTGAACATGGAACAAAACTTATCCTGGTGAATCACAACTGGTCAGTTCTGGTCTAAGAGAAATTCCTACCTGCCATTACCTGCATCCTTCATTTTACCTCAAGATCCTGTCAAATGTTGCTTCTAAATTATTTTCTGGCAACAAATATAACTAGATGCGTTAGGACTAAAAAGAGGAGCAGATGTGCCAAACTGCAGAGGGTTCTGAATATTCCTCCTCCTTTAAATTTACTTTGCAGAACATAATTTCATCGGCAAATTCCCCCTCCCCCCCAAAAAATGTGTGTTTGAACAGATTATTAAAAGTTCATCTCCTGGTCAGTAAACATTGTAATGACTGCCTCATGCATCTCTGGGGAGTTTCAGACATGACAGGCAGAAAAGCAGAATGCACTTGTGCTCTTTTTTCTTGTTTTATCTTAAACATCTTTGGCTCTTAATGATTTTGAAGATCTGCTGGAAATGTTCATGTAAGGCCACTGAGGTGGGTTTGATCATGTCCAAACCTTACCTAATCCTGAATATGAGCAATTGAAATAAATTAATATTCTTCCACCAAATCCCCAATGAGCGTACTCTTGCTATGCTAAGCAATTGGATTTCAACCAATATCTGATGAGAGCTTTGAAAGCGGGAGGGAGTTTAGATTGAATTTCTACAGAGCCAGAATAAAGGAGTTCCTAATGCTTTGACGCCTGTCCCTTCGCTCATCTCTGCAAGATTGGCACAAATCTAGAACCTCTTATACCTTAGGTGGAGAACTCGGGGGGGTTCCATGTGGTTCTCGGCCTCTTCCAGGTCTTGAGACACTGCAGGTCCCCTCCATGTGTGCAGACCATATTCCAGGTCACCACAGCTTTTTCTGGGTCATTTCTGTTTGTGCACATGCCAAAAAGTGGCAACAGATGCATTATGCAATCCTGCAGGTCCACAGGCTTCACTTTTGCTCTAGACTTTGCTTTCACCACCATCCAATTGCATTTCATCTGCCACCAGCCACAGTCCCCAACTTGCTGTTCCTAACTGGGAACTGTACAGACGACTTCAGGCTGAAAATGTATATGCTAAAACTGAGGGAAAATATCAGCACAGTCTTTATTCATATTAAATGCCTTGCAAATTTTGTGCTCTCTTTCACACTCTACAAGCTGTAAGCCTAGCCAATGGCCTAGAGACAAACATAGGTTTAAACAAAAGGATGTTAAATAGTAGTGCAGACGGATGGCTAGTTGAATACAATCAGGAGCAGTGCACAGCACCTAGACAGAAGAGGAAATGAACAATAAAAGATTCCTTTCCATCACTGTGGTTCCCCCGACAGAAGCTGCGACCCACGCAGGCAGAAAAGAGGTACTGAGAAAACTTTGTCACAGCACCTGCAAATCTGTGGTTCAGGGGTGAGCAGATAGACTCCCCCCCCCCCCCGGAACAAGACATCAGCAAAGACTGCAGCTGGCTTGATGAAAGGATGCTGCTCAGGTCAGTGGGCTTTGAGTTGGCCTGGAACCTGAAGGGCAAGGACAGTGACCACGTGGCCAGTTGCAGCATTTAAGAGGGAGAGTATTGCTTCTTGCTGTTTAAAAAATGATAGAGATGGTGGCCTGACAAGATCTTCCTTCCTAACCTTTCTCTCTAATGCACTCAAACATATTGGCCTCAAATTCAGTTTTCTGAAGGTGTTTCAGCATCTATCCTGTTTTTGTGTGTGTGTGATACTGAATTTTGATTTCTTTTGAAACCTGCCCTAAGCCAATCCCTAGGGTAGGATAAATACTGCATTATTTTGTCTTCTGGTGGATCCTAACCAGGCCACCCTACAGACTTGGCAAGTGTCTTCCAGATTTTCTTAGAATTTTATACCAGCAAAGTTGCAATGCTTTGCCCTTTGCATGAAAGCTTAGCAAGGAATTAGAGAGAACCCACAAAAGTATATCAAAACACAGAAGAGAGCCATCAGCAAACTTGTTTTGATTTTTTCCCCTAGTTGTCGGCAGTATTGCAAAGCACTTTCATTCTTAAATTTCAACTAGTTGCCCAGTAGATCAATATTCTAAATCCTTCAACACACGTTGCTATTGTGGAATTAAGTCACTTGTTCCATGTTTGACTTTTGCACGTGCTCTGCTCTAAATGACCCAAAAAAAGGGGGAGGGAATCAAGTCATTAGAAATCTCTGAAAATTTAAAAACCTGAGTTTTGTTTCCTCACTCAGATTGATTGACAAATCCTGTGGGGCGAGAGGCAGAGCTGCACAAGGCTGCCTCAAATGAACTTCCCTTCTGAAAGGAGAAATGTTTCTCCTGACACTTGCTCACATGATCTACTTCACATGATGTGGTAGCACTTGCTGGGGAGTCAAAGAGAGAAAAAGAAAGATTCTGCAGAAATCCTCTTTTTTGTCCCTAGACAACAACTGTGAAGATTCACTGTCCAACAACAGGACTCTCATTAGACTAGAAGCTTTCGATCTTTTCTCGCTGCAGACGATTTGTGACAAAAGTTCCCACGTCAGCCTTCTAGTCATCAAAATCAGGGATGTCGTCATAGGAATAGCCCCGGTAGCCTTTGGAAGCGAAATAAGCAATCCGCAGATGATAGAAGCCAGGAAGGAATACCAGGATGCCAATGATTAAGATGGGGATTGCTCGGTCAGTTCCCTGGAAAAGATAAGAAAAAGACCCGTGTGACGCACATGTGTTCAGCTGCTAGGTACGTCGGCATCCAAGGGGTGGCAGCTGAAAGCAGGCTCCGTAACTGCCTTGATGGAAGACACTTTGGAGCCTCGCCAAATTCGCTACAAGCTCCTTAAAGAACAAGAGAACAGGCAGCTGTATCACAGAACAAAAACTACAGTTACCCCAGATTGAATCTGTCCCCCAGATTGAAGCCCAACTCTCAGGGCCTCAACGGCACCTTCAAATTGTGAACTCCAGAACAAAAGATTCCTACTGGCAGCATAGCCGTGTCCTATACATTCCCAGAGAATGTGCTTTTCCATTCATGTCCTGGACGATGAAGAGGTGCCTGCCCCTGCTGACCCCCTCCCCTGAGACAGGACTCACTTACTCCTTGGCTGATATATCCTGCAAGGAGGAGAGCACCGATGACGATGAGAAGGGTGCCAATGAGGAACAGCACCGTAGCCAGCGCAATGGCCTTGTATGGGATCTTGGGCGGGCTCTTCTTGAACTGCAAGGGAGGAGGAAGAGAGAGGTCAGCAGTCAAGGGCTCCAGTATGAAAACAGGATCATTCTGAAGTCAATTCCCTGGATCCCAGATGGCTTTCAACAAGGATATGCCATCTGTGGGCCTCTGGGTAGCTGTCATCACCCTCAACCACTATCACCAACATGGAAAGAGAAAGAATGGGAATTGCAGCTCAACAACACTTCAGAGGGCTCCGAGTTGCCCATCGCTAGTGCTCAGTCTCTGCCTGAAGCAGGACATACTTCTCTGATAATAAAGATAATGGGGGGGGGCAGGGTGGGATGAGCAACTTGGAAAAGCCATCACCCAGATAGCCCAGCTATGAATTTCAGATGTAACAGGACCACTGGGGGAGCATCTCTACTCCCTCCCTCCCAATGAAGGCTGCATACAGTAGGTGTGGGCAGAGAGGGAGCAGGTAAGACCCCCCCCTCCTCTGAAAAATACAACCTTGAACCCTGTTCCTTTACATACATGCAGAATCACTTCTCTCTAAGCCAATGAAGCAGCTAGATGATAGGAGCAGGGAGGAGGAAATGGCTTTCGGAATCTAACCTAAGCTGCTAACACAAGACTAGCTCTGGGTGAACACTGGTTCTGTAGCAGAACCAAGCTCAAAAGTTCCTCCAAACACCTGCTTCCAGTTCCCCCCCCCCACACACACACAGGCACCTGAGAGCCAAAAACCTGCACCCATCTAGAGGACATCACTGAACGCTCCGCTGGTAGAGCCATCTGCCTTTAAAGTGAAAGGCGGCTCTGGGGTGTTGTGATGATGATGCTCCCTGGCGGCCAACATCTGCTGTATCATCACAATACCCAACAAAACCACTTCCTCATAATTACATGTGACTCCCTCTTTCATAAAAATGTCTACACTTGGTCTTTTGTTTCCCACCCTTCCGAAATTACGGCCCACTTTAAGTCAGTTTCCCATTTGCACCCACGTCTTGTCTTGATATACGACACCAAAGAGAGGGGGGGAGGTGGGGAAATTCTCTGAAACATAGTATTTGGAAAAGAGCAAATGGCTTTGGCAATCAACGTCTCCCTAAAACTTGCTTTTGCACAAATCAGGTCACCATGGCTGTGTTTTGGTGAACCTTCGCATGCACTCAAAAACGTTGCCTTGAATTCCTAAGCCAGCCAGAAGCTTTAGGTGATCACCGCCCTTCTCTTCTCTTCACAGCTTTCTGGTCCATGCACAGGAATTTAGGAGAGGAGCAAGGTGGCTGATGCTATGTTTTTTAGCATGGGCTTCCAGGAGTGATTTCTCTTAACTAGAAGAGACTTCTGCTGTTTCCTACATCCTCCTTCATGCAAACATGCAAGACCGCAGGGAGACAACAGGCATAAGTGAAACAGCCTGTGGTGGGTTGAGTTCATCATTTTTTAAATCCTTTTTTTAACACTGTAATAATTTATTGTTTTAGCTTTTAACTTTGTTTCTTTTAATACTGTAAGTCACCTTGGATCCTTTAGGAGAATAGTGGCATATAAATATTCTAAATAGATAAAATTATTCCACAGAAGCAAAGTGAACCCAGGAAATCAGAAAGAAAGGGGGGGGTGTCCAACTCAGACTTTGCATATTTATTTGTTTACTTATGTAAATATATATTCTGCTCATCTAGTACACAAGTCACTACTCCGGGCAGCTTCCAAGAAAATAACATAAATATACTACATCAATTAAGATAATAAACAGATTTTAAAAATCTCTTATAAAACCTCCAGTCTAGTGAGTCTATTGACTCACATGGGCTGTTATCTCCACCCAGCTGGGCAAACATGAGCCCAAACCGTATCAAAGTATTTGGATTATATGGAATAACTGCATGGCCTAGCACGAAGCTAAGGGTGGGCTCACAAGGGTTTGAATTAAGGAGAAAACCCAAACGCACGGTCAGGTTTTGCTTCTGATATTTGTGATGCACAACTGGCCCTGTTCCCCCCACTCCTTTTACCTGCAGGTCAATATAGCCTTCATCTGTAGATGCAAGTTTGGAATATTTCACTTTGCTGCTTGGGATCGAAGCAGCTAAATTAGTTCGGGACGGCATCGTGGTGAGCAGGAAATGTCAGCAACTACAACCTGGGAGGAAAAAAGCCATAAAACTCTTCGAGGGGATTGGAACATGACTGGGATATTGTTTCAAAACAGGAGAAGTTGGCTGTCAGGCCAGGCCTTCAAGCTTCATTCAAAACCACCTCAAGCCCACACTGCCCTTCCGTTCTCAGTTTAACGGAAGCTCCTCTTTCTCCCTGCTTGAATGGCTTGAAAAAAGGAAGGAGTGCTGTCAACAAGCAGCTTCACAGAAAACACGGCAAGGGCTACTTCTGTTGCTGTTGTTCTCCTTTGGCAAAACACATTTTATATTTGGATGGCAAATTAATCTGACCAAGGGACTGAACTGCTGGTGCTTCCACTCCAGAAGCACCCCCAGATGGCTTCTGACACCAACAACAACTCATGAGTAGAGTTCTCTCTAACCTGGCCTGGTTGATCCCAGAGTGATGGAAGGGTGAGTGTTAGAAGTTGGGAGATGTAGGTTCTAGCCGTTAAGAGTCAAGCAATTTCCCAACTGATAGGAGATTAGTCATTTTTTTCTCACATCTAAGTATCTTCACAGGGTTGTTGTGACGATAAAGGGGAGGGAAGGAGGGAGGGGAGCAGGGCCATTCCTACAGCTAGGAGTGCAGCTCAGAAAGGTAGGATACAAACATAATAGAGAAAATTTTGCTCCATCTTTTTCGGAGTCTAGCATATTAAACCATGTTTCTCATATTTGTTTCTGAACATTTCTATAAACCCACTGTTGGTGGGTTTTTTCCCCCCAACAATCAGGATTGCACAGAAAGCCTGAAACAAATTCCCAGGAATGGCATGTTGCTCATACCCACCTACAACATGTCACCATCTGCTCACAGCATGGGACTCTGGGTGAGGCAAGAAGGGTGGTCCACCCCCTCAAAACAAGAGAATAAAGAAAACCTGACAACCCATTGCAAAAAGCCAGTTCAAAAGCTTAGCACGACCCATCTTCAGACTCTCTCAGATGCATGCACTTGAAAGCACTCTCTGCCATAAAGCAGGGAAGATGTAATCCAAAAGAGATGGCATATAAAAGAATTCAATAATGTCTTAGTTCACAGGGACATTGCAACGACAAGGAGGTTTGCTAATTTTTACAAACTACTCCATAGACTAGAAGATTGCAAGTAAGTAGCTGCATCCCTTCAAACGTGTGAAGGAGCAGCATAATTGAACAGTCTGTAACCTCAGACAATGCTATGCATTCACCTCTTAGGACAATCTTTCTCCTAGCAGATGTGTTTGTATCCTTATAATGCAAGACAATCAATGTTGATAAATATTACCTCTGTTTATTTGCTTCGAACCGAGCTGGGAATCAGGAAGCTATAAATTAAACACTTGCAGATTTAGAGAGGTTGCTGTGATTTTTCTCCACTAAGCAAAGCAAAGTAAACAACAAGAAACCAAATCAAATACCTTGCAGCGGTTTTAAGGCTTAGAAGTTTATTTCAGAACAGAGGCTGAAAAACTGGCAGCACTTTGTTTATGGAACTGGAGAAAATCAATAAAATCATACCCTGAAAGGTAACAAGATCCATCAAAGAGATGCTAAGAGGTTGCAGGATCCATTTTGGAATGGAGCATCTGCCCACAACTATTTTAAGGACTCCCCCCCCCCATTTCTCCCCCTCCTTACCTTGCAGCTCTTCAGTGTTCTGGGCAATGAAAAGTCCTGTTAGGCTCCAAAGCCAGCCTCTGCCTGCTCTGGAGATTATTGCGACTTAGTACAGGTATTCCTAGACAAAGCAGCAACAATGATTCAGCCGAAGCTAATGTACTCTGGGCACATCGGGAGAAGACGACTCGCTGGAAAAGACAAGGATAACGTTAGGAAAAATGAAAGGCAGCAGGAGGAAAAAGAGAGAGTGAGCATGAGAGAGGAGTGGACTTGGAGGAAGGAAGCCCCAGCCTTGAGTTGGCAAGACCCCAGCAGGGCTTTAAAGGGCAGGGCCTGTGTGTGTGTGTGGGGGGGGATTCCCTAAGGATCCCAGGCTCACCCCCAGGTCAGAAGCGACCTGCTAGCCAGCACCTGAGCACAAATGTCATCATCCACTAGCCTTGGGGTGTGTGTGTGTCTTGGATTTTGCACAAGGATGGCTCTTGTGGGTGGGTGAGAGAAGCCACTCTCTGCCACAGTACCGGAGGAGGAGGAAGAGGCTGCACCCATGAAAGTCCCCCCACCCCAAAAAAACCAAACCCTTGGGCTCTAAGGACTCTTTCTCCTCCATTCCCCCCCCCCACAAAAAACCCTCCCTTCGTCCCTTTCCAAAGCCAGGATCTCCTCCTTCCCCTCCTCGAGGCTACACCCAACCAGGGCCAAAGACTTGGCCACCCTCTCCCCGGGAACCCCCTGCCACCATCCCTACCCTTAAAGGAGGATC